CTATAAGTAATATATTTGTTTTTACCTCTATATATTATATTTAGTATATATATATATATATTTATATATATTTATATATATATATATATATATATATATATATATGAGTACCGTCATCTTTTTTTAACAAAAAAAGGACTGATTACAATATATTATACAAAATTAAAAAAAACAAAGTTGTAAAAGGCACTAGAATTTTGTATTTGCTTTAAACAGAGCAGTACATGCACATTGTACCTTCAAATCAGGGGTGTGGAAATAATGTGTTTCACTCAAAAAAATATAGATGTGATCTATTGTTCAGCAAATTCATGACTCAATTTTGCAGAATATCTAAATCATCATTGAAAGCAGATGATTCAACATGCTTATATACACCCACCCTTAAATCTCATCATTCGGTAATGAGATTGAAAAGTTAACATTTTCCTAAACTGAAAATGTATTTCCAATAGATACCTCTTCTCACAAAAAGCTTTCTTGACTTATACTGCCCTCTATCAGCACAAAGGTTTGCTTGCCACTAGCCTTGATACTCCCACTTATTTCTGCATATTAACATGCAAATTATTATGCAACAACCCTCCAGCAATAGGAGTGCAACACTACCCTTATCGTAACTAACGCCCTCTCTAATCTTACAGCGTTTAACCACTTTGAGATTGGTCAGATCATACCAAACCATAATGGAAGTGAGGAGGACATGTGGGAAATGTGAGGGAGGTAAGTATCTATTGGAGATACATTTTCAGTTTAGGAAAATGTTAGCTTCCAATACGATACCTTACCTCTTCTCACAAAAAATCAGAATCCCACACTGAACCAGTGTAGGGCCAGTGAGAAAATGATCCTCTATCAGGAAGCACCCCAAGGAGAACCATGGTGTGTGAGAAGGAATTAAAAACAACACACCCATGGGAAACTGCACCACTTCTGAGCCATGTTTACTCTTTGACCTTTAGTAATGTGTCACCAAAATGGGCAGAAACATGGAGGGACCCAAAGAAAAAATTACAGAAATAATGGGATCCCTGATGTAAAGTGGCTTGGGTGTGAAAAATCGTAACTGGGGATTCGACCTGAATCAAAACCTGGCAGCATCTGGAATTGTACATCAGGTCCACGGTAGGAAGAGGGTCCTCTACCTTTCATCTCAAAAATAGGTAGTGGCAGGGAAGAGAAGCTTCCTTACAAAGAATCTGCCTCCTCATATGTGTGCCTCCAACACAACCAACCCCAGATCCACTGGGAACTGACATTCAGTGAACTGTAGGAAGAGGGACTGCTATTGCATTTCCAGTCAAAAACCTGGCAGCATTGGGAATTTAT